CTAGCTGGAACTACAGGCACGCGCTACCACACCCAGCTGATTTTTTCATTTATTGTAGAGATGAGGTCTCGCCAAGTTGCCCAGGTGGGTCTCGAACCCACGGGCTCAGGCAATCCACTCATCTCAGCCTCCCAAAGGCACGGGATTACAGGCTGAGCCACTGAGTCCAGCTCAGAAGACATTTCTGGAAGAATATGCAAGAAACTTGCTACCAATTACTGCTTCTGGAAAGAGAATTGAATGTCTGGGTTAGGCTGGAAACGCCTCATGTACCAGTTTGAACTGCTGGAATAGTTTACCGTGTAAATGGTTTTTTTCCTTTTAATTAAAAGATCAGGAAGATCATAAAAGGAACAGAAAGAATTTTTCTCAACTGCATAGCAAGATCATTGTCAAGATTAGCAAAATTTATGATCAAGAGAAGCGTTGTTTTTCTAGCTGCATTTTTTAGAAGAATTTTTCTAAACAAAGTACTTTGCATTCAAGTTGCATCTTCTCAAGGCTTTTTTTGAGGGGAGGGGAAGGAGGAAACAGAAGGGGCTTCACAGTTAGAAGAGGTTATTTGAAGGATAGATCAAGGCTTTTCCACTTCCATTTAACTTAGTCTTACATTATCCATTTTTTTGTGATATATTTTTTTAAATTATAGCAACTTCAGAAAATTCTGCCAGGTGCGGTGGCTCATGCCCGTCATCCCAGCACATTGGGAGGCAGAGGTGAGAGGACTGCCTGAGCCCAGGAGTTCAAGACCAGCCTGGGCAACATGGCGAGATCTGTTCTATACCGTAAATCAAAAGTTAGCCAGGCATGGGTCATGTGCCTGTATTTCCAGTTACTTGGAAGGCTAAGCTGAAAGGATCACCTGGGCCCAACGGGTTGAGGCAGTGCATGCCACTGCACTCCAGCCTGGGTGACAGAGTGAGACTCCACCTCAAAAAATATAATAAAATAAAATAAAATTCCAACATAGAAGTTAAAATCATCAGCAATCCCAGCTCCTGATAGTAACCACAGTTATTTTGGCATACTCATCTGGCGTTTTCATAGGCATGCTGTAGTACAGATGTTATCTTATAATCTGTTGAACTATATCAAGGACATCTTCTTATGCCATTAAATATTATTCTGCCCTGTCACTACAATAACTTGCACGTGATTTCTGAATAGTGACACCTTTTGTGTGAATAGTCTTCAAAAGACCAACATCTATTGTCTTGGAATCACATCAAAGTTATTTTTATTTCAGTCATTCAAATAATTGTTTAATAACTCTGGTAACTTCTGGCCTGGCATGATGGCTCACACCTATAATCCCAGCACTTTGGGAGGCTGAGGTGGGAGGACTGCTTGAGCCTAGGAGTTTGAGATCAACCTGGGCAATATAGCAAGACCTCATCTCCACACACACACACACAAAATATATATATATATACTAGCCAGGTGTGGTGGTGCATACCTGTAGTCCCAGCAACTCAGGAGGCTGAGGAGGAAAGATGGCCTGCACCCAGGAGGTCAAGGCTGCATTCCAGCCTGGGTAACAGAGTTTCCTGTATTATAGAAGACCAGAAGGGAGGTCAAGGCTGCACTCCAGCCTGGGTGACAGAGTTTCCTGTATTATAGAAGACCAGAAGGGAGCTGCATTTGAGGTTTTTTCCCATCTACTTTCCATTTCTAATTTTGCAGGTACAGAACTGGAACAGTGAAATTCTTGCTAAACAAAAACCTCTTATTGCCAAACCTTCTGCAAAGCTCCTCTTTGTCAACAGACTGAAGGGGAAAAAATACAAAACAAATTCCTCCACTAAAGTTCTCCAAGATGCCAGTAATTCTATTGACCACCGAATTCCAGCGTCTCAGAGGGTATGTTTAAAATACATTTTTGAGTATTGTGTTTTGAGTACTTACATTTTGGTTTTCTTGTATTTGTACCAAATTTTTGGTAATTTAAACTAGACATTTAATATTTTTGTTACTCAAAGAACTTGTCCATATTTCCCTATCTTTTCTGTCTTCTTTAAAACTAGAAAGGGTAGTTACTCTATTCAGGTGACTCGCTCCCTTGTGTCATACAGCAGTTATTTCTGTGAGTCACTATTTTTTGCAAAAACACTACCAGTTATTTAACCGCATTATTTAACCCAGTAAAACTACCCTCCACACAGCTTAGAGTCAGAGCAAATGACATTAACATATATTGGGATTTTAAATACGACTTTAGAATGAAGAGTGTCTGCTCGCATCTACCTCAATCATAGTATTGATACCAAGATAGAACTTAAAAAGATTTTGATGAAAAATGTTCACAGCAATCAGTTTATTAAACATAACTTATTTAGAAATAAAAATACTGTGTGTTTCCTGATAAGTATCAGGGAAGTCCACAGTCTAGCTACTCTATAATCTGATAAAAGGATCAAAATAAGTTACAAAGAAGGTACTGCATACTATAAGTCCATGTCAAGCGATGAGAGCCTTCAGAAAAAAGGCCAGCTTTTTTTAAAATTAGAGATTTCTGTTGTCTGCGTTCCATTGAGCTCTCCATCCTTGTAGCGTCTTTTGTCGATTCTCATCAGTGGTTTCTTGTACAGCCCTTCTGGGCTGCATGTGACTAACAAGAGGAAAAACTATGTACATATAAGTGGCCTGGGAATATTTTGGAGATTCTGAACAGAGCTGGACCTGAAGACAAGTGCAGCTTTGTTCAAGGTGTGGAGCCTGGCCTAAGCTCACCAGCTCAGCTGAAATTGTCCACACTTTTGGAGCCATGCTGTGTTTTCATGTTTAGAATTTTGAATGACAGACTTTTGGCCCCCGGGAAACCATCTTTTGTTGGTGTTAACTCATTTGGCTCTAGCTTCTGTCTCACTCAAGCCGCAAACTCAAAGTGGTAAAGCCATCCTCTCAACCAGTCCTGTTTCCTTAACCCAGTTCTAGGATGCCTTGTACTCTGTCCCAGACCAGGAACCAGATGTCCCTGGCTCACTAACGGCATGCGATCTCAGCCCCTGGGATCGCCCTTCCAGCTTTTAAGTAGTTCTCTGCTGCCACGTCAAGCCAGGTGCTGCGTCTCCGGCCCAGATGTTGGGACGAGGCCCCAGCTCTGAGCTCCTGCCTTCCTGACTCCCTGCAGCCCACAGGCAAGTTCTGGACAGAACCGCCTGACATGGACTGGCCAGTGCCCCTGCTTCACCGAGAACGCAGCCGGCCCTGTCAGTGCTGCACACAAAGCCGCCTGGGCAGCGGCTTCCTCCTCGCCTGCCCCCACCTTTCTTGCAGTGTCCCCTGATGTTACCAACTGTGGGACTTATGGGACCGGCACACACATCGCTCTTAAGGTGCTAACATGCTGTGCCATTTTCCCTGTGTCCCCAAGGGTGGCTTAGTCCCGCCTCCTCAGGCTCACAGCTTTTTGATGGATGTGCCTCTCTTCATCCTTACAACATTAAGAGAAACTGAAAAATCATTACTTGCAGTCAACACTGTATTCATCATTTCTGTCTTGAAACCTTCCACATAAAGTATGACAGGTCTCCTTCTCCCACAAATATTCATATTTGAAACTTATATTTTGGGGGATCGTCACATCTTTAAGTACAATAAAAAGGCCTTAAAAATCACTATGCTGGAAAAGGTACTTGCTTTCTTACTTATTTTAATAGCTCTTAAGAAGATTTGTTTCCTGAAATTCACTGTAAAATCTTAGACCTGAACTTCAAGCCTGAGGTTCAGGTCACAGTCACCAATATTTGCATAATCCATGCAGTGTCTGTGGCAGTTCTCTTCAGTCTGAGATGTTATTTCTTTTGCCCGAGGAATACAGGAATTAAACACCAAAATAACTAGAAATGCTTGTTAGTTGGACTGAAATGATAGTATTTTATACCATCACTGCCATCTCATAGTCCTTTGAAACGAGGTCAGCTTTTATTTGTATTATTATTAGTATTGTTTTAGTCAGAGTCTTACTCTGTTGCCCAGGCTAGAGTGCAGTGGCATGCTCACAGCTACCGCAGCCTCGACCAGCTGGGCTCAGGTGATCCTTCCACCTCAGCTTTCCAAATAACTGGAACCACAGCATGCAGCACCACACCCGGCTAATTTTTTTTATTTATTGTAGAGATGCAGTCTTGCCAAGTTGCCTAAGCTGTCCTGGGACCCCTGGGCTCAGGCAATCTTCTTGCCGCAACCTCCCCAAGTGCTGAGATGATAGGTGTGAGCCACCGCACCCAGCCAATGTTAATTTTTAACCTCCACCTTTTGCATCTGAGCATATCATGATGCTGCTCACTGACGATCTAAAGATAACGCTGGAAAGTTCAGTGCAGTCGGTTTTCTCTGAACATTTTAGAAAATCAGCGCAGACACTATTGGCGACGAAGGGTTCTTCGACCTGTTAAGCCGATTCCAAAGCAACAGAATGGACGATCAGAGATGCTGCTTGCAGGAGAAGACCCACCGCACAGCGTCCACAGCGCCTCCGTCCACTCCCGCCACGGTGCTCGAAAGTGAGTTGCGTGCCACTCCCCACCTGGTACAGCTCTCTTTGACGTTCTTGTGATTTACGTCTGAGAATTTAGTTCCCGTCATAGAAACGTGAATACAGGTATATCGGAAATGCTGGTGTTTGTACAGCTCAAAACAGTATCTTTCCAGTTCTCATACGTGTATCTGTATTTTGAGTCTGATGTGCTTTCTACTAACAGTATCATACTGCCACCCTAGCCGCCTTGGGGTTGGGAAAATCTGACTTTGAGTTGGGCATGGTGGTGCATGCCTGTATCCTAGCTACTTGGATTGCCTACTGAGGCAAGAGGATCGCTTGAGGCCAGGAGTTCAAGGCTATAGTAAGCTATGATTGCATTTGTGAATAGCCACTGTACTCCAGCCTGGGCAACAGAGTAAGATCTTGTGTCTAAAAAAATCTGACTTTAAAAAATAAAAATGAGGAAAAAAGAGATAGTTATACATACTTTATGATTATATATAGAATGTAAATACTTAGCATCTGGATTCTTTTTAAAAGTGAAGATAGTCAGCCGGGCTCGGTGGCTCAGCCTGTAATCCCGCGCCTTTGGGAGGCTGAGGTGAGTGGATTGCCTGAGCCCGCGGGTTCGAGACCCGCCTGGGCAGCGAGACCTCATCTCTACAATAAATCAAAAAATCAGCCGGGCGTGGTAGCGCATGCCTGTAATTCCAGCTACTTGAAAGGCTGAGGCGGAAGGATCGCCGGAGCCCAGCAGGCGAGGTTGTGGTGGCCGGGAGCGGCCACTGCACTCCAGTCTGGGCAACAGAGTGAGACTCCAACTCAAAAAAAAAAAAAAAGTGAAGATAGACTGAAGAGAAACCAATGGCTGGAAAGGTCTAAAATAGGTTACTTAAATGCTTCTATTTCAGCTACTAAAAGACTTCTCACACCCTAGCTCAAGACTTGTCAGCAGCACTTAACTCTAAGTTTAGCTCACGAAATGACTCCTATCCAGGGCCTGGGATAAAAAAGCGTTCCGTTCATCCTGGTCTGACAATTGTGTAAGGAAAGTTTACTCATCTTCCAAAATCGAACCCCTTACCTAGTAGTTGCATTTCGAGTAAAGGGAACTGTAGCCACATCTGGGGAACCTACAAGTAGGTCATTTGAAGAACTCGGGTTCATTCTCCACCCCCTCCGTTTCCTGCCGCCATTTGAAGCCACGCCCATCCAGTCAGAGCCCCCCAGCAGCAGCGCTAAGGCAGAGAACAGGGCGGGTGTTGGGGCTGGCAAGAAAGAACCACGTAAATAACAAAATATGCTGAAATCTGTCTTAACATTCGGTGTTTCCCTCCATTCACAGAACCATCTGTCTCTGTGGTGTCCCCCAACACGGATGAATTTTTAGACCTCCTTGCCAGCTCCCAGAGCCGCCGTCTGGATGACCAGAGGGCCAGTTTCAACAATTTGCCAGGGCTTCGTCTAACACAAAACAACAGCCCATCAGTGCTTAGCCACCTGGTGACAAATGACAGCCGAGAGCCCGATGACGACTTCTTTGACATCCTTGTCAAATGTCAAGTATGTCTGCATGACTTGTTCTCTGGCTATAGCTCGGAGAGCCTCGAGAGTACTGGCAGTGGTAGAGTTCTCAGGCAGGAGAGGCTCATTTCGAATCGGGGGTTGTTATTTTCTTGTCCCTCACTCTGTAAAAATTTACTGAACACTGATTACATTCTGGTACGATTCTAGGCATTGAGGCTATGCCTGCTTTTCCTGCACTTCAGTGCAGGAATGAGACAGGGAATGAGTGTATACTTGTATGTGTGTGTAAGTATAAATATTAAAATATAGAGAGAGCCGGGCTCGGTGGCTCAGCCTGTAATCCCGCGCTTTGGGAGGCCGAGGTTGAGTGGATTGCCTGAGCCCGCGGGTTCGAGACCCGCCTGGGCAACTTGGCGAGACCTCATCTCTACAATAAATCAAAAATCAGAGTGAGGCTCCAACTCAAAAAAAAAAAAAATTAAAATATATAAAGAGAGAGAATGAGAGCAAGCTCGCGTGCGTGTGAGTATGTATGTCAGGTAGCCACGCTTGCTGCGAAGAACTCTGGAGGAGGACCGGGGTAGTGGGCAGCCGGGGCAGGTGTCTATTGTAGGTGGGGTGGCGAGAGAAGACCCTCCTGGACTGTCATCTGAACAGGGGCCTGGATGAAGTGAAGTGCCAGCCCGTGAGCAGCCAGGGAAAGCACATTCCTTGCCCAGACAGCAAGTCGCTCCTGGATAGAAAAGCCTGCGGGTCCAGGGAATGGCAGGTGTGACTGGGACTGAGCGAGGGGAGGGGGAGGGTGGTACAAAATGAGGAAGGAGCGGGCGGGGCCCAGACCGCAGAGGCTCCCGTGGGCGGTGCTGAAGTCTCGTGTTCCAGGAAGACACCGGAGGGCCTGAGCGGCCACCCTGGCTACTGACGGCAGAACGCAGGGTGGCACGGGCATGGGCACGAAAGCCAGCGCGGGAGCCCGCACGGCATTCCAGGAAGATGCCGGAGACCCGGCGAGGGTGGCAGTGGGGGTGGCGAACAGTCAGGATAGGGACATCCTACCAGTTACGGCATCAGTTCTCTACAGCGGTGCCGTTGGCAGGACCTACTGCTAGACAGGATGGAGGGTCAGGGAGAGAGTCAAGGATGCTGGCGCTTTCCTGCTTGAGTAATTCAGGAAACGAAGGGCTCCACTTACTTACTACAATGGAGATGACTACAGGGGAAGCGCTTGGGGAGAAGAAGCAAGAGTCTGGTTTAGACAAGTTAAATTGAGTGAACGCAATTTAACAGTGGAGTGGGAATACTGAATGGCAATTGGATGTAAAATCTGGAGCCTGAGGGAGAAGCACATCTGGGAGTCATCAGCACATAGCTAGCTCTAATGCCCTGGGAAGAGATTCCTTAACGGAGCAGGACTGGACTGGGTGCAGTGGCTCACGCCTGCCATCCCAAGATTTTGGGAGGCTGAGGTGGAAGGATCACTTGAGCCCAGGAGTTCAAGGCCAGCATGGGCAACATAGTGAGACCTCATCTCTACAAAAAAAAGCAAAAAAATTAGGGTGTGGTAGCACACACCTATAGTCCCTGCTACTAGGAAAGCTGAGGTGGAAGGATCACCTGAGCCCATTAAGTCAAGGCTGTGGTGAGCCAAGATCATGCCACTGTACTCCCAGCTTGGGAGACAGACCCTAAAAGAGAGTGAGGGAAAAAAGGAACAGACCAGGAAGAGGTTCAAGACTAAGACTTGAGCATTTCACATCTATGAGTTAGACAGAGAAAGATGAGCCAGCAAGGCAGCAATAGCCAGAGGTGAAAGGAAGCCCAGAGAGGGTGGCATGGTAGAGTTGAGTGAAACGCATCTTTTTTTTTTTTTTTTGAGTTGGAGTCTCACTCTGTTGCCCAGGCTGGAGTGCAGTGGAACACACGGCCACCACAGCCTCGATCTGCTGGGCTCAGGTGATCCTTTCACCTTCCAAGTAGTTGGAACTACAGGCATGCACCATCATGCCCCGCTGATATGTTTATTTATTTACTGTAGAGACGAGGTCTCTCCAAGTTGCCCAGGCTGGTCTCGAACCCATGGGCTCCGGCAATCCTCTCGCCTCTGCCTCCCAAAGTGCTGGGACTACAGGCACAAGCCACCGTGCCCAACTGAACACATCTTATGGAAGGTTCAGCTGTAGCAAAAACTGCTCAGGAGCGGAGTAAGATGCAACTGAACCACTAGCTCTGACAACGTGGAGAGGAGTAACTTTGAGCACCACCGTTTCAGTGGCATGGCAGAGACACAGGGCTGAGCGGACCGAAAACGGCGTGTGTAGGGGGGACAGGAAAGAGGAAACTCCAAGGGCTCTGCTTGCAGAGGGGGGCCCGCAACGGGTTGTTCGCTGGGGAGGGGAGAGATGGCCGAGGTTTTTGATGACGTGGGTGTAACATGGCACATGGAAAGGTGGCAGTGGTCGGCTGGGGTCAGTGGAGACTGTGTGTGTGGGTGAGAGGGAAAGCAGAGACGGATACGGAGATGGGGCAAGCAGGAATTCTTGTCGCTTCTATTTTCTCAGCAAGGTAAGAAGTAGGGTCACGCGCGAAGGCTGGGGCTGGGGCCTTGTAAGTGTGACGAGAAAGGAGGTGGGAAGTAGTTGACTTTGAGAAACTAAAATGCAATTGGCCAGGAAAAAGGAATGATTGAGTCCACTTGAAGTTCACGGTCACTGGAAGTAAACCAGTCAGTGCAACTGCGTGTTGTTTCTAGTCATAATCAGCAGCTTGAGGCAGAGAAGCGAATGTAAATCAAGACTGACATTTCCAGGAGAATGAGATGTGGAGGCGAGAACAGCAGTGAAGACATAGATGAGGAAGTGGTTTGATAACAGACTTGGGAATCCAGGCTCCAGCAAGGGAAGTAAGAAAATTAAAGGGGTAAAAGTAACAAGTACCCGTGTATTCAAGAGATACTGAAGATATGCACCTATCTCATAACAAACCATCAAAATATAGGAAGCAAAAGTCGACAGAACTGAAGAGAGAAATGGATAATTCTACAATAATAATTGAGAAATTCTACATCCCCACCCAATAATGGATAGGACAATCAGACAGAGGATAAGTAAGAAAGACACATAACACAGTAAACCAAATAGCTCTAACGGACACATACAGCACCCTCTACCCCCTACCAACAGCATGTATGTTCTTCCTAAGTGCACGTGGCACATTTTTCAGGATAGGCCATATATCAGCTACAGGTTCTCAATATATTTTAAAAGGTATATGACATATAAAGTAGCTCTGGGCCAGGCATGGTGGCTCAAGCCTGTAATCCCAGCACTTTGGGAGGCTGAGGCGAGAGGACTGCCTGAGCTCAGGGATCCAAGGCCAGCCTGGGCAACTTGGCAAGACCGCATCTCTACAATAAATAAAAAAACTGGCCAGGCTTGGTGGTGCACACCTGTAGTTCCAGCTACTTGGAAGGCTGAAGCGGAAGGACCGTCTGAGCCCAGCAGGTCGAGGCTGTGATGGCCATTTCACAAGTATGTGGAAATTAAACAACAGACTTTTAAACAACTAGTCTGTCAAGGAAGAAATCACAATGGAAATTGGAAAATACTTAGAAATTAATGAAAACAATAACATACTAAAACTTGCAGGATACAGCAAAGGTAGTACCAAGGGGCAAATTCATAGCTGTAAATGATGATGTTAAAAAAAGAAGGCCGGGTATGGTGGCTCACGCCTATAATCTCAGCACTTTGGGAGCCAAGGTGGGAGGACTGCTAGAGCCCAGGAGTTCAGGACCAGCCTGGGCTACATAGCGAGAACTTGTCTCTACAAAAAAATCAAAAAATTAGCCAGGCATGGTAGCACATGCCTGTAGTCCCAGCTACTCGAGCAAAAGGATCGCCTGAGTCCAGGAGGTTGAGACTGGTGAGGTGTGATTATGCCACTCCACACCTGCCTGCGCGATTCTAAATAAATAAATAAATAAATAAAATTTTAAAGGAGAACTCTCCGGGCGCGGTGGCTCATGCCTATAATCCCAGCACTTTGGGAGACAGAGTCAGGAGGATTGCCTGAGCTCAGGGGTTTGCGACCAGACCTCGTCTCTACAATAAATGAATGAAAAAGTATTAGCCAGGTGTGGTGGAACATGCCTGTGGTTCCAGCTACTTGGAAGGCTAAGGTGGAAGGATCACCTGAGCCCTGCAGGTCAACCTGGGCCACTGCACTCCAACCTGGGCTACAGAGTGAACTCTGACTCAAAAAAATAAAATAAAAATGGAGAACTCAAGTCAACAACCTAACTTTACAACTTAAGGAACAAAAGAACAAACCAAACCCAAAACTAGCAGAAAGAAAGAAATAAGATTAGAACAGGGATAATGAAAATATAGAACAGAAAAATTAAAGCCAAAAGTAGTTTTTCAAAAAAGATATTCCAGGTTCAGTGGCTCAAGCCTGTAATCTCAGCACTTTAGGAGGTGGAGGTGAGAGGATTGCCAGAGTCCACGGGTTCAAGACCAGCCTGGGCAACTTGGCGAGACCTCATCTCTACAATAAATCAAAATATTAGCCAGGTGTGGTAGTGCATGTCTGTAATTCTGGCTACTTGGAAGGCTGAGGCGGAAGGCTGGCCAGAGCCCAGCATGTTAATGCTGGGGTAACCATGAGTATGCCACTTCACTCCAGCGTGGGTGCTGAAGTGTGACTCCAACAACAAAAAAAAGAAAAGATTAATAAAATTGACAAACCTTTAGATAGACATACTAATAAAAAAAAAAGAGAGAAGATTCAAATTACTAGAAACACAAAATCTACCAAGAATAAAACATGAAGAAACAAAATACACACATACGCACAAAGTGAGGACATTGCATCAGTAATCAAAAACCTCTTGGTAAAAGCCCTGGACCTGATAGCTTTAGAGGTGAATTCCTCAAATATTTAAATAATTAACACCAGTCCTTTTCAAATTTTCATTAACTGAAGAGGAGGGACCATCTCATAACTCTTCTATGAGGCCAACATTGCTGATACCAGATCCAGACAAAGACACTACAAGAAAAATACAGACCAATATCCTTTATGAATACAGATACAAAGTAATCAACAAAATATTACAGTTCATATTCAGCATACTGAAAAGATTATACACCATGACCAAGTGGAATTGACTCCTGGAATGCAAGGATTGTTATATGAAAATCAGTGTAACAGAACAGAATGAGGGGGGCATACATAATCGTCTTAACTGATGCAGAACAACATTTAACAAAATTCAATACCCTCTTGTATAGGAAATTATCATAACATAATAAAAGCCATATGTGAAAAATGCATAGCTAACATCCTCAGTGGTAAAAGACTGAAAGCTTTCCTCCAAGATCAGGAACAAGATAAGAGTGCATGCTTTTGCTACTTCTATTCAATACAGTGGAAGTTCTAGCCAGATCAATTAGGCAAGAAGGAAATAAAAGAGGAAAAGAGGAAGTAAAACTATCTGTTTGCAAGTGATATGATTTTATATGTAAGAAAATCCTAAAAACTCCACAGAAAACTGTCAGAGCTAATCAATGAATTCAGCAGAGAAGCAGGATACAAAATCAACACCAACAAAAATAAGTTTTTTGAAAATAAACTAACGATGAGCAATTAGAAAATAAAAGAATTCCAGTTAAAATAGAATGAAAAAAAAATACTTAGGAATTAACCAAAGAGACAAAAGACTTGTACAATGAAAACCACAAAACATAGCTGTGAAAGAGATGAAAGAAAGCATAAATGAAAAGATATCCCATGTTCATGGATTGGAAGGCGTAATATTGTTAAAATTTTGATATTACTCAGTGATCTACAGATTCAGTGCAATCCCTATAAAAATCCCAGGTTTTTTTTTTCTAACAGAAATAGAAAAATTCATCCTAAAATTCATTTAGAATCTCAAAGGATACCAGCTATTCAAAACAGTCTTAGGAAGGAAGATTTAGGGCTCACACTGATTTCAAAAGTTACTACAAAGCTACACTATTCAAAGCAGTGAGGTACTGGCATAAAGACAAACATGCAGACCAGTGGAACAGAGACCCCAGAAATAAACCCTTGCATATTTGGTCAAATGACTTTCAACAAGGGTTTCAAGACCACTTGGTCAGGAAAACAATGGTCTCATCAACAAATGGTCCTGGGAAAGCTGAATAGCCACATACGAAAAGAATGAAGTCGCCACCTTACCTAACACCATATAGAAAAAAATAACTCAAAGTGAATCAAAGACCTAAGCATCAGAACTAAAACTATAAAACTCTTGAAAGAAAAGAGGGAAAAGGTCATGGCATTGTGTCTGGCAGTGATTAACACTCCTGCATCGAAGGACATTATCAACAGTGAAAAGGCAACCCACATAAAATATGTGGAAGTCCCAAATATGATAGAGGATTAATGTCCAGAATATATAGAGACCTAAAACTCAACAACAAAAGCCAGTCTGATTTTTCAAACGGGCAAAGAGACTGGGCATGGTGGCTCATGCCTATAATCCCAGCATTTTGGGAGGCTGAGGTGGGATCACTTGAGGCCAAGAGTTTGAGACCTGCCTGGGAAACATAGCAAGACTTTGCTTCTACAAGATAAAAATAAAAAATCAGCCAGGAGCAGTGGCTCACACCCATAATCCCAGCACTTTGGGAGGCAGAAGCAAGAGGATTGCCTGAGCCCAGCAGTTCAAGACCAGGCTAGGCAACTTGGAGAGACCTCATATCTATAATAAAATTAGCTGGATGTGGTGGCACATGCCTGTAGTTCCAGTTACTTGGAAGGATCGCCTGAGCCCATCAGGTCGAGCTGTGATCGTGCCACTACACGCCAGCCTGGGTGACAGAGACTATGACTCAAAAAAAAAAGTTGGGTATGGTAGTGTATGCCTGTAGTCCTGGCTACTTGGGAAGCTGAGGCAGGAGGATTGCTTGAGCCCAAGAGGTTGAGGCTGCAGTGAGCCATGATTATACCTCTCAAAAAAAAAAAAAATGAGCAGGGCTCGGTGGCTCAGCCTGTAATCCCGCGCTTTGGGAGGCTGAGATGAATGGATTGCCTGAGCCCACGGGTTCGAGACTCACCTGGGCACCTTGGCGAGACCTCATCTCTACAATAAATCAAAAAATTAGCCGGGTATGGTCGCGCGCGCCTGTAGTTCCAGCTACTTGGAAGGCTGAGGCAGAAGGATTGCAGGAGCCCAGCAGGTCGAGGCTGCGGTGGCCGGGAGCGTGCCCACTGCCCTCGTCTGGGCGACAGAGTGAGACTCCGACTCAAAAAAAAAAAAAAGATGGAACAGACATTTCTCCAGAGGATAACGAGCCTGGCACATGATCATGGAGCCAAATGGATCAGGCAGAAGTGAAGGATGGGAACACTCAGTCAGAGGAGGTCTAGGAACTGAAGTGCTTGAGCATTGGGTTGGTTTAAGGACATTGGCGGTATCGGTTATGACAGGAGGAACGAGGGGTGGGCAGTGGGGAGGGCGGGTGGCACTGACCAGGAGGCCAGTAGACAGCTGCACCGTCCTGGGGTGGTGGGTTAAGCATCAAGGCATCTGTGCGCTCAGCATGGTCCCTAATGATCCAGTGGGCACCCCAATGCCAGCACTCACACTTCTAACTTCTTTTTCGAGTCAGGGGTCTCACTCTTGCCTAGGCTGGAAAGCGGTGGCACGATCATGGCTCACCACAGCCTTCTGAGTAGTTGGGACTCAGGTGCATCCCACCACACACAGCTGGTTTTTCTGTCTGTTTTTTGTAGACAAGGTCTTGCTGTGTTGCCCAGGTGGGTCTTAGACCCCTGGGTTCAAGCAGTCCTCCCTCCTGGCCTCCCAAAGTGCTGGAATTACAGGTGTGAGCCACTGTGGCCAGCCCACATCTCTGCTCTGACACTTGAGCTGTAATACCAGAAACTATACTGCAGACCTTTAAGTGTGAGCATTCTTTACTTGATGAAGAACATTTCTAACGTAAGAGTCGTAAGATTAAAACCTGAGGGAGAGATTCAGTCTGGGCTGTTTCTTTAACAGAATCCACTGCCTAAGACGGGTGGGCACACGCTTCTGTACCGGGCTAGACAGAACATGCTTTAGGCTGCACAGACCACAGGGTCTGTTGTGGCTGTCCAACTCCACCACTAGTCGGATTGACGGGACATCAGGTGTTTGATGGGGAAGTGAAAATGAAGCTTTATTTACAAAAGCAGGTGCCGGGTTATAGTGTCCTGGTCCTGGCCTAACACTTTTCTTTTAAGGCGGTGCTGCAGGGTTTTGTATATAACATTATATTGCTTAAGATTTGGCAAGTTATATCGCAGGATTACAACCTTGAACTGCCATACGTAGATTCAGTTGGCCTTGTATTTTAATCCATCCCAGATTATTCCTTGTGACTAGTTATAATTAAAATAGTATAACTTAACCAGCCTAGGCAACATAGTGAGACCACGTCTCTACAAAAAAAATCAAAAATTAGCCAGGCCGGGCTCGGTGGCTCAGCCTGTAATCCCAGCACTTTGGGAGGCCGAGGCCAGTGGATTGCCTGAGCCCACAGGTTCGGGACCCGCCTAACCAACTTGGCAAGACCTCGTCCCTACAATGAATCAAAGAATCAGCCGGACGTGGTAGCGCGTGCCTGTAATTCCAGCTCCTTGGAGGGCGGAGGCGGAAGGATCGCTGGAGCCCAGCAGGTCGAGGCTGCGGTGGCCGGGAGCGGCCACTGCACTCCAGTCTGGGCGACAGAGTGAGACTCCAACTCAAAAAAACAAAAAATTAGCCATACACCTGCCGTCCCAGCCGCTCAAGAGACTTAAGTGGAAGGATCGCCTGAGCCCAGACGGTCAAGGCTGCAACGAGTCATGCTTGTGCCACTGCAGTCCAGCCTGGGCGACAGAGTGAGACCCTGGCTCCAAAAAAAAGTGTAACTTAATATAATGCATTTACTAAGCCTATGAAGCTATGGCTATTCTTCTGTATGATACTTATATCTGATTATATAAGTCATTTTAAAGAAAAATTTTACTAGGTTTCAGGTCTAAAGATTAAATTTCTGAGAAGAGGCAAAAATCTGTTTAGTTATTTTCTTGTCATGCCTGAGATGTAATACAGCTTGGTGCCTCTCTGCCCTTCATTATTTGCGTGTTAATCTCTTTCCTGTAATTTTTAGGGATCCAGATTAGATGATCAGAGATGTGCTCCACCACCTGCCGCCACCAAGGGCCCAACGGTACCAGATGAAGACTTTTTCAGCCTCATTTTACGGTCTCAGGCGAAAAGAATGGATGAACAGAGAGTTCTCTTACAAAGAGATCAAAACAGAGACGCTGAAGTGGGGCTAAAGAGCCTTTTGCAAAATAATGCTTTGTTGGAATTGAAAAATTCAGGAAAAAAATTACCAAACCACTAGTTACTATGGATTTTATTTTTTAAGACCTTCTTTCCTTTCAGGACATTGCAGGAAAACCCAGTCTATTCCTTTTCTCCACAAAAGGAGGCTTACAATGTTCTAGAACGCTGTAAATATTTCATGAAGTAGAGTAGGAAGAATCCCATTTCTCTGGACGCTCACTTGTCTCAGGGTGGAGGTGTCTTGGAAGGTGCTTCATTCGTCTCTGTGATCACTGCTTGGGATGTGTTCTCTGAAAACCTGTTAGATTCCTCTAGCTAGTATTTGTAAAGTAGAAAGCTAAGTGAATCCTAGACTAGGATGTAATCCTCTTGCGGAGATAGGTTTTTAAAAATCTTAATTGACAATGGTATTTTTTTATACTCAACCCTGGATATAGTGGGAAATTACGCTGTTTAGTAACAGTAATGTACTTGACCAATGTAAAAAGGTATATAAGATAGTCTTATTAAAGATCTAGACTTTTTTTCTTTATGAAAATCTATTTTCAATATATATTTTAGGCCAAAGCCAGTATAAAAAAAAGCTCTTACGAAATAAACATCTTTTAGCATGTTTTGGGCTATTTGTTTAAAAAAAATTATGGTTTTAAATGGTCTCTTCTGTTAACATAATACTGCTGTAAAACAAAACAAAAACCATGTGGTTATGTCAAGAACCCAGGTTTTTTAAATAGAAAAAAAATGCAGGAAAATTTCATGGTGCTTTTTCTTATCAGAAAATTCAATAAGCAAAGACAGCATACCAAATCACAATAATGTAAAAATAAGTTTATTTTGTGTATACAGTGGTTCTTAGACCCTGTAAACATTCAACATTTTCTGTTCCATTTAAAAACTACTTTTAACAGCGGTCTACCCCGTTCTGATTTTCCCAGTCCCAGAAGCTTGTCACTCACTACAAGCCTAGTCAGTAAACAAGCCTTATATCTTTTCTGGTAATAAACTGGCCTTGAGATGTTCAATTTGCTTTAATAAAGTCTTCCCTGAATTGCTGTTATCATTCAACAGCAGCAGCATGTTGCCTTCCTAGCTGTCAAAGGAGATTTCATCCCCAAATGGGTATCTGTAATGAAAGAATACAAAGATGAAATTTTAGGGAACTTTCATAAAGAGTTACTCTTTGGACTGTTGAAAAGCAGTCAGGAGTGCATGTAGCCTTAACTCTGCTCTTCCACTTTCAGTCTGCCATTTGAGGCATTCGTTCCTCTTCCGGGTCAGCTCACAGCTCAGAGGACAGCTCCCATTTTGGAAGCACATTCTCGAATCGGTATGAAGGGGCGAGTCCCCAGAGAGGACTGCATTATGCACATGGATGTTGACACGTCTAGTTGAAACTGCAGGCATCCTGTTACTCATTTGTTACATGCCCACAGTGTTAAAAATCTTAACATAAAAATCCTTTTGTATTTCTTGGAAAAAATGATAACCTTTTTGATGAAATACTAAAGATGTTCACAAAATTCAGCTAGAATATATTATTAACATATAAAATTAAATTGTTACAGACACCAAAGTAACACATCTGGGAGCCAAAAATGGGTATTCTACATTTCATGTAAAAGAAAAATCAAAAAGCAAGTGCTACCAGGCATGGTGGCTCACACCTGTAATCCCAGCACTTTGGGAGGCAGAGGCCAAGAGGATTGCCTAAGCCAAGAGGTTCGAGACCAGCCTGGGAAACTTGGCAAGACCTCGTTTCTACTGTAAATAAAAAAATTTAGCTCGGCATGGTGGCCTATGCTTGTGACCCAGCTACTTGGAAGACTGAGGCAGAAGGATTGCCTAAAACCAGGAGGTTGAGACTACAGTGGTTGTAAGTGTGCCATCACACTCCAGCCTGGGTGACAGAGTGAGACTCCGACTCAAAAAAAAAAAACAAAAACACAAGCAAGTGCTTTGAATGTTTTTTTCCTGAAACAAATGCCTGCATGGACATCTTAAGACTTTATTCATAGTTGGTATCATTTTTAGCTAGCAGCTGAACATAACCTCTAGTTACCTGTGAAATCTGCTAGCTACCGACGTGCAAAATTTATAAACTGCCTTTAAAAAGGTTTAAAATGAAGAATGCCTTTCAAAATCAGCAAGGCTAATTTAAAATGCTGATTGACAACTTTGTAGTTGCAGAAGGCACCCTATTCTGCTTTCACGATCTCTCTGTCTAGACCTCTAAAAATCACAGCTTCATATGGCCAAGAAAATGTGGTTTGCTGTCATATAAATGGTATACGGTCATATGTAATAGTCTCAACTGCTAGGATCTGAGCAACAAGAAAAATCAGTCTTTACAAAGCCTGTGTTGGCCAGGCGTGGTGGCTCACACCTATAATCCAGCACATCAGGCTGAGTGCCTCTCACGTTAGGAATACTTTGAATCCAACGCAGAACTAGCATATTACTCTGCGAAGTAAAGTAGAAAATATAGGATTTCCACTGGGCAACACATAGTTTGGTTAGCTGGTTCCTATCAATGCCTGTAAACAATACATACACTTCTTTTTCAATGTTCCTGGATTCAAACTGGCCTCCTTAACTATCCAGAATCAGTGATGGCTGCCATACATTCATCTTAAAATATAAATTCTGTGAGACCCTGTTCTAAAATTAACACTTCAAAACTTTATGGAAAGAATTTATCAAAGAGAAGACGAGATTAAACAAAAGCTCACATATACACAGGTGTTTGCTAACTGTCAGTAAAAATGCTAATGTTTAGGCTGGCACCCTCGTGTACACATCAGAAGAGTGAATAGAGTTGTTAAGAGGATACTTCACAACAGCCAAAGATGGCCTCGGCGCTGGCATCCCTGTTTCTCTAGCCACATGGGCTGCCAACTGGGTCCTTTCCACACGTGCTCGCTGCAGCTCTCGCCGGGATGTGTGTGCTGCCCTCAGGGCTGTCCTCAGTTTCCGTCTTGAGTGGCCCCTTTTCCACTGTGGGCAAATCTTCCATCTTCCCTGACCTATCCTGGCCAGAGGCAGGCTTAGAAGTCTGGCTGCTCTCGGTACTGCTTTCTATCAGTGTGCTTTCTTCTGGGATGCTGCCAATTTCTTTGGGCTTTGTATCCAGAACAGGTGATTTACACTACAATGTAGAGAATTACACTTAGTTTTACCTGCTTAATGTAAGGGGAAATTTTAGTCATCAAATATATCTAACGAGTTCCCACCCAAATCCACTGCAGCAAGCTCTGAACTCTCAAACCCTGGTTCCTGTGCTCGAGGCTAATTACGTCAGGGTTGTCAAGCCTCACCAAATGGTGCCTGGAGGAGCTGGGACACTCAGGGTGACTAGGCAGTCACATGGTCCAGCTCAGCAGACATCTACAGGACTAGTGAGCAGGATTGCTAACTCCTCTTAACCCGGGGAGACTAATTCATTTGACAAACATTTAGCGCCAAGCGCGGTGGCTCATGCCTATAAAATCCCAGCACTTTGGGAGGCCGAGGTGAGAGGATTGCCTGAGCCCACGGATTTGAGATCAGCCTGGGCAATTTGACAAGATCACATCTCTACAATAAATCAAAAAATTAGCCAGGCATGGTGGCGTGCGCCTGTAGTTCCACTACTTGGAAGGCTGAGGTGGAAGGATCACCTGAGCCCAGCAGGTCAAAGCTGCAGGGGCTGTAAGCATGCCACTGCACTCCAGCCTAGGTGACAGAGTGAGACTCCAACTCAAAAACCAAACAAAAAAAATATAGCGAGCATAAATTAAGTTCTAGGTGCTGGAGACACAGCAGGAAAAAACACAAAAACTGCTTTCACTAGAACTCACATGCAGGTTGGGAAAAGAATCAGGCAACAAGTCCAGAAAGTATGATAAGCCACATGTTAAGGGCTGTGTGGGAAGAGACATGGGTCCCGGAAGTGGAGGAGTCTGAAAAGGTGACCTGAGTACAGCCTGAAGACAGGAACCACATGACATGGTTGGACAGCATTCTGAAAGAGTGAACAGCAAGTACAAAGGCTCTGAGTTCAAGAACTGTCTGGAGCCTTGAGGTGGAGAGAGCGGGAGGAAAACAGGCAGTATACAGTGAGGTCGTGGATGTGGGAGAAGGCCAATCTGAGGCTCCACACCACCGTGATGATAACTGGCTTTCCCTTGATGTGAGCTCGAAAGGCACTGGAAAGTTTTGGAGGTGAGCGACAGCTAGCTATTAACTATAAAAGCTGGAAGAAGCATCTTAAGGTTTTCTAGATACATGCAGATATATTTCTATAAGGAACTCTGGGAAGAGATTCTATAATTTCCTAGATTCTATAATGCTCAAAACTGTTTCGCAAAGGTTTACAGTTACAACTTAAACTTTGCAAATGACAACACAAATTCCTTTCCCAAATGGAAACGCCCCTTTAAAAGGCCAATAATGAAGCCAGGTGCAGTGGTTCACACCTGTAATCCCAGCATTTTGGGAGGTGGAGACGAGAGGATTGCCTGAGCCCAAAGGTTTCGAGACCAGCCTGGGCAATTTGGTGAGACCTTGTCTCTACAATAAATTTTTTAAAAAAATCAGGTGTGGCGGCACACACTGTAGTTCCAGTAGTTCTGGCATAGAGGGACAGCAAGGTAAAGGCTCTGACTTACGCTGGGTCCCACCTTGTGAAGATCTGGCGCCTCCACGTCCGGTAAGTCAAATGCCCGGAGCACTTCAGGGCTCTTGGTGCCAGTCTGAAATCTCAAGTCAACATCTCTCCTTCTCAAAACATCTCTTCTACCCTCATATGTTTTGTCATAAGGGACTTGCTCAATGGGGCCAGCAGGGGCCCTATAATAGAAATCTGCATCACCTGCACCACCAAGGGCTCTATAGTCAGTATCCTTCTGCCGTCTTCTTTCACCCGGCTCAATTGCCCGGGCAGGATCTCTCTCGGGGCCACCTAAATGTCGCAGTGCATGAACTGACTTTCCAGCGCCATAGCAGAAACTCTGTAAGAAAAAACACATTTTCCTGAGGATTTAATGGCTGATAATAAAGTTGTGTTTTATTCAGACTGTTAACAACATAGGCATTTTAACTTCCTTGTGGCACTTAGACACATGAACATGTTAACTTCACTTTTTTCATTAGGCAACTCTTTAGATTAACACAGAACCAGAGTGGCCACTAAAATATAATGAATCAGTACTAAATAGACATTTTAATCAACTACTTTTGATTGAATTATATCATAACAGTGGCAGGCTGAAGCCTAGAAATTAAAATTAGAAGGTTCCAGTTGACTAATTGCTCATGTATTCCTATACTCATACCCACTATATAAGATAAATCCTGGAAGTTATTTAAAGTTGTACATCATTATGCAAACATTTAAAATGTTTGTTTTTAACAAATACAAACTCGGCTTAAGCTACAGCTAAAATTCAACAGGTTTTGATTCACATTGCACGGGGAAAAGCAAGCAGCAGTTTTCAAAGCACAGGACTCCGGGGAGATCCTTGAGACCCTTTCAGGGGATCTGCCATGTCACAACTTCTCATATTTGTCTTTTTTGATGTCCTGAGTGTACGGCAGAACCTTGCAGAGGCTTGAGTGACATCCACACTGAGGCCTCATGAGATGTGTGCTTTTGGACACAGTCCTTATATTTTTAAAATTTCTCCGTTTTGGCCAAGCACAGTGGCTCACGCCTGTAATCTCTGCACTTTGGGAGGAAGAGGTGAGAGGACCGCCCAAGCCCACAGGTTCGAGACCAGCCTGGGCAACTTGGCGAGACCTCATCTTTACAATAAATCAAAAAATTAGCCGGGTGTGGTGGCGCATGCCTGTAGTTCCAGCTACTTGGAAGGCTGAGGCAGAAGGATCATCTGAGCCCAGCAGGTCGAGGCTGCAGTGGCTGGGAGCGTGCCACTGCACTCCAGCCTGGGTGACAGAGTGAGACTGACTCAAAAAAAAAAAATTTCTCGGTTTTAATTCCTAATGTGGTAAATGTCAATACATATAATCCCCATAAACAAGAGCTCTTCGTGGTCTTCAATTTTTAAGAATGCAAGGGGTCCTGAGAAGAAAACGCTTAAAAACCTGTGTTCTAGAGACACACTGCCATCTGACGACAGAGCAGCAAAAGGCCCAGGGCGTAACATTCCTTAGGAAGCAGATGAAGCAACGGGAGCTGATGAAGCTTTCACTCATAATTTCAGTCTCAGGGACTGAACTACACTCGAAAACTCACATCCCCAACAGAATCAGCCCTCCACACTGCGGAATCCTGCCACCACCAGCCAAGAAAGGAAACCAAAACAGGAGCCACCGCAGAGTGAGCAGAGCACAGCAAATCTTGTATCCATAGGGAGAATTTCCCACAGCACATCTGAGTGCTTTGCTTTATTTTGGTAACAGCTAAAAAAGCTGAACAGACCATGGATAAGTAACAAACAGTATTTCTTCCTAATAAATGTCCACTTCTGGATCCCCCAAACCGTTTCTCAGTATACCCACCTCCTTCCACATCCCTTTCTGATGCTGTGTTAAACCCTATGCTTCTTTTCTCAGTGCTAGAAAAACTCAGACTAGAAATAAGAAGGCTCCCTTTTTTAGAGAGGAAGCAATCGACTTCCTATGTATTTTATATGTGTTAATTCACCAAGTTTAAAGAACAAATTTTGGCCAGGTGCAGTAGAGTTCAAGACAAGTCTGGGCAACAAAGCAAGAAAAAAGAGAAAAATTAAGCTGGACGTGGTGGCTCACGCCTGTAATTCCAGCACTTTGGAGGTCAAGGCGAGATGATTACCTGAGCTGAGGAGTTTGACACCAGCCTGGGTAACATGGCTAGATTTCATCTCTACAGTAAATTCAAGAATTAGCTGGGTGTGATAGCTTGTCCCGGCTACTTGGAAGGCTGAGGCAGAAGGATTGCCTGAACCCAGCAGGTTGAGGCTGTGGTGGCCGTGAGCATGCCACTGCACTCCTAGAGTGAGACACTGACTCATAAAAAAGAAAAAGAAAAATTAGCTGGGTGTGGTGGTACATGCCTGTAGTCCTAGCTACTTGGGAGGCTGAGACAGGAGGATTGCTTGAGCACAGGAGTTCAAGGCTGTGCTGAGCCTCTGCACATAGCATGTGACTGCACTATATAGCCTGGGTAACAGTGAAATTCTGTCTCAAAAAAAAAAAATAACAAATTTTTAAAGTGGTGATTACTACAAATCATCGCTATAACCTCTACAAACTAGAGAATCATTCTCTTGATTTGTTTATGAATGTCAGTATGAATAAATCTGTATCACTTTCAAATCACCTGACTTATATCATCAAAGCCTAATAATTTTAGAATTGCTTTTTTCTGTAAATCCTGCTAAATATAGATAGTGCTAATGTACTAACCAGGATAGCTAACGCCATAATTATCAGCACTGGAATGTGAAGTAACCCTGGAATTTCCTTCATGAGTGCTCTAATGAATTCACCAGTTCCTTTTCCAATGTGCTTCAATGGCTCCGTTACGAAGTTGGTGAATGTAACTGCCAGTGCCTAAAACAAGAGATAACAGCAACTTAAGGCTCGCTCAAAGAATTGAGGCACACAGAGTGAGTCAAAATTCATTGTGCACTGAGACTGAAATTATGTTAAAGTAAAATGCTTTCATGCCTCTTTTAATGTGAAAATCACTGTGTAATGGAAGTATTTTTTCTAGGACAAAGGTTTATTATTAGCAAAATGACTCTAAAAATACTAAATTTATTTATAAATACAAGGAATTTTTAACTTACTTTGTATATATTTTTACAAAAGATATGCTATACCTTTGTTGGTGGAACCAACCAGATAGGGTTGACTAATAAGAGCTCGTGGTATTTTTGGCATGGGTCATCCTTATAGGTCCATGAACTTCTAAACCATTCTATTTAGAGAAACAAACAGACAAAACACTGAAGTGTTAAATAAAATGCTGCATTTCATTCCCAAATAAAACAATACTTTGGTTTTGACCCTCCTTGATCACTCACCAATTTTAAATTGTCTTAAATTTTAAATAAATTATCTGTAATGCTGATTTTAAAAATTTTCATCCAGCCAGGCTTGGTGGCTCAGCCTGTAATCCTGCGCTTTGGGAGGCTGAGGTGAGTGGACTGCCTGAGTCTGTGGGTTCAAGACCCGCCTGGGCAACTTGGTGAGACCTCATCTCTACAATAAAAAAATCAGCCGGGCATGGTAGCACGTGCCTGTAATTCCGGCTACTCGGAAGGCTGAGGCGGAAGGATCGCCGGAGCCCAGTAGGTCAAGGCTGCAGTGGCCAGGAGCATGCCACTGCACTCCAGCCTGGGCGACAGAGTGAGACTCCAACTCAAAAAAAAAAAATATTTTCATCTAATGTCCAAAATCATATTTAATTTTTAAATCCATTCAAATTATACTATTTTTGCAGGTAGAAAATTATACACTATAAAAAAGACTAAAAGGTCGTTAAAAGCAGTGTTTTACACCCACAAATGAGAACAGGCAAAACAAGGGTAAAAGATTGGTGGCCTGTATCCTGGCTCTGATATTACACTATTATAGTTGTATAAGAAGTTGCCACCAGGGAAATTGGGGAAAGGGTACACAGGCTTTCTCTGTATTCTTTTTTTTTTTTTTTTTTGAGTCAGGTTCTTACTCCATCTCCCAAGCTGGAGTGCAGTGGCACAATCATGGCTTAACACATCCTTAAACTCCTGGGTTCAAACGATCCTCTCTCCTAAGCCTCCCTAGTAGTTGGAACTACAGGCATGCATCACCCCACCAGTTAAGTTTTTTATTTTGCAGAGATGAGGTCTTGCTATGCTACCCAAGCTAGTCTCAAACTTCTGGGCTCAAGCAATTCTCCCACCTCAGCCTCCCAAGTGCTGGGATTATAGGTTTGAGCCACCACCCCCGGCCTCTCTGCATTATTTCTTGCAACTGTGATTCCCCAATTATCTCGGTAAGATTTCAATTTAAAAAGTCAATTTCAGCCGGGCTTGGTGGCTCAGCCTGTAATCCCACGCCTTTGGGAGGCTGAGGTGAGTGGATTGCCTGAGCCCGCGAGTTCGAGACCCGTTGGGCAACTTGGCGAGACCTCATCTCTACAATAAATAAAAAACCAGCCGGGTGTGGTTAGCGCGTGCCTGTAATTCCGGCTACTCGGAAGGCTGAGGTGGAAGGACCGCCGGAGCCCAGTGGGTCGAGGCTGCGGTGGCCGGGAGCGGCCACTGCACTCCAGTCTGGGCGACGGAGTGAAACTCCAACTCAAAAAAAAAAGTCAATTTTTTACTGGTTTTACAAATAAAGAAAGTAGAGCATTCGTTCTCCAGTTTTTCCAAATCAGACTTGCAGACATTTAGAAACTAGCCTGAGCTCGAGCAGGTACTTCCTTACCCCCTGAAGCCAGGATGCAAAGCTGAAACTGGTTCATTTCCCACAGGTTTTTAAGAAACATGTTTTGGAATTCATTTACAGACCTCTGTACCTTAACATTGTTAAACCATTCCCATTGCTACATATGTACAACAAAAGGTAGTCAACATTAGTAAGAATGTTTAAAAATTGTAAAGAAAACAAAATTTTTTTTTGAGTCGGATTCTTACTCCATCGCCCAGACAGGGGTGCAGTGGCACAATCGTGGCCACCGCAGCCTCAACCTGCTGGGCTCAGGCGATCCTTCCACCTCAGCTTTCCAAGTAGCTGGAACTACAGACACACACCACTGTGCCCAGCTAATTTTTTGATTTATTGTAGAGATAAGATCACGCCAAGTTTCCCAGGCTGGTCTTGAATCCCTGGGCTCAGGCAATCCTATTGCCTCTGCCTCCTAAAATGCTGGGATTACAGGCATATGCTGTAGGCCAATATAAGAAGTTTAAATCTAGGATATAGCCAGGCGTGGTGGTGTGTAGTTCCAGCGACCTGGAAGGCTAAGGCAGAAGGATCGCCTGAATCCAGCAGGTCGAGGCTGCAGTGACCGTGAGCGGGTCACTGTACTCCAGCCTAGGCAACAGAGTAGGACTCCAACTCAAAAAAAATCTAGGACGGATATTAATTCATATATACATTCATTCACTTTTTTTGTGTGAGTCAGCATCTCACTCTGTTGCCCAGGCTGGAACACAGTGGAATGATCATAGCTCACTGCAGCCTTGACCTCCTAGGTTCAGGCAATCCTTCCACCCCAGCCTCCTGGGTAGCTGGGACTATAGGAACACGCCACCACACCCTGCTAGTTTTTTAATTTTTTTATAGAGACAAGGTTTCGCTATGTAGTCTAGGCTGCCCTCAAACTCCTAGGCTCAAGCAATCCTCCCAGCTTGTCCTCCCAAAGGGCTAGGATTACAGGTGTGAGCCACTGTGCCCAGTCGCATTCACTTCTTTAACGAACTTCTGTTGAGGACCTAAAATGTGCTAGACCCTGAGCTAAGGAGCAGATGAGCAGAAGTGGGTACAGGACCCTTCTCGGTCTGATGGAGGAAGACAGGCCATACAAGAGCCAACACATACACACCTTCTGCTCCTTCCCTGTGACTTTACATGAACACAGTAAGTCACTGGCTTTCAACCTAAATGCTTCTTGTGTGTTCTCTGATATTAGAAACTCAGTCATGGAGAGCCTCGTCTGGTGTTTTATCGTTTTCTTTGTAATTACCATGTTCCCTCATTTTCAGAAATTCTATTCAAAATAAGCCAGGTGAACAAAACCCTTACCCCAGAGACTTCCGGCCCAATCCATCTTCTCAGCACACACATTGTTGAACGGCTCCATCTTAGCGACTTCAGCCTGATGCTGGGCAAAAGCTAGCTGGCCAGCACCGAGAGGGAACACGAAAGGCCGTTAGCGGTGAAGGCTACGCCTACATGCCCACAAACCTTAGTTCAGGGTTTGTCCTTATCATGCATACAAACCAGACTGCTTTAAAATTTTTCACAGAAAAAAATACGTATTATTTTTAAAGAGTAGCTATTTCCAGCTAATGGAAAAGTACAGTCTTTATGCAACAAGTAAGATAAAGAACTAACTACGGTTGCCTTCTTTGTAAGTAATTACGATAAGGAAGGAAAACTACTAAAAAGGTTGTTTTAAAAAATGAGTTCATAGCTGGGCTTGGTGGCTCAGCCTGTAATCCCGCGCCTTTGGGAGGCTGAGGTGAGTGGATTGCCTGAGCCCGCGGGTTCGAGACCCGCCTGGGCAACTTGGCAAGACCTCATCTCTACAATAAATCAAAAATTAGCCGGGTGTGGTAGCGCACGCCTGTAGTTCCAGCTACTTGGAAGGCTGAGGCGGAAGGATCGCCGGAGCCCAGCAGGTCGAGGCTGCGGTGGCCGGGAGCGGCCGCTACACTCCAGTCTGGGCAACCGAGTGAGACTACAACTCAAAAAAAACAAAACAAAAAAAATGAGTTCAGGATGGGCATGGTAGCTCACACCTATAATCCCAGCACTTTGGGAAGCTGAGGTAGGAGGATCACTTAAAGCCAGGAGTTTGAGACCAGCCTGGGCAATATAGTAAGACCCTGTTTCTATAAAAAATATATATATAAAACTTAAAATTAAAAAGAAAAAATTAGTTTAAATACCGTTCCCACTATGCCTGAAGTTATAGCTATACAAATTAAATGCCTGAAGTTATAGCTATACAAATTAAATTAAATGTGCTCTGGATGAGTTTCAGCACAAATGACCAATATAAAATCACTGAGGCAACGATCTCAACCAAACAACTTTCTTTCCACACAGAACCTTGGTGTTTAATTTATAATTAATTCTAGATGCTATAGTACATTAGAGCAGTTAAGGAAATATCACAGTAATGTAATCAGATGAATTCACTGAAAATACTTGGCTATTTGACTCACCCTGTTAGAAGGATCAAAATTTTCCTTTGATGATTATGCTATTTTGACAGGAATAGCAGTGGTCCTTTCAAATCTCTATATATACACAGGGGGTGCCAAAAATATGTATATATGTTATCTATGTATTACTTTTCAAAGTGGAAAAGTAAGTACTACTGTAATTAAATGACAGTAGCAATGTGTAGTATGACATTTGCTCAACCATGCTTCTATCACTATCCTGCCTGTAGCATGGTGATGCTAGCATTCATTTGGTTAATGCCATCTTTTGAGCGAACGTCATACTTAAAATGTGTACACATAATTTTGGCACCACACACACACAATATAATCTCAATTTTGAAAGATAATAAAAATTTAGAAAAAAAATTAGAAATAGCGCAAAATGTTGACAATTATTTCTAGATGATAAAACTATAGGTGATTTTAAAAATTTAATTTCTTTGAATCTTTTTATCTTTTCTAAATTCTCTACCATGAACATACCACTTTTATATTTTGAAAATAAGGTAATTAAAATGTATATACATAAAAAATTTTTAAGAATAGAAAATAATAAAATTTCGGTATCATTTCTGGTGAAGAATAGAAAGATATACCCCAAATTACCAAATTACCTACATAAGAATTTTTTTTAAGCATCCTCCTAGCTCTATTCTGACTTAGCTATCTAAACACTACCCAACAGTAACTGGGTTATGAAAACTAGGGCTGTATGTTTTCCTCCACTAATTGGTCAAGTTAATTCCTCCCCACCATGGACCACTTCCAGACACTGCCTCCAACCCACATCTGAGGCAAGATTCCTCTAAATGGAATACAGTCTTCTATTATGAGTGAAAATTTCTAAAGTTTTAAACCCCCCACCTATTTAATACCTTATACAAATACATCCAGTTCCATCCCAAACTGAAGAGAAAACTGATGATTAAAACACGTTTCAGCTGGGTGTACCAACGTACATATGTCCACAGCTCGGTCGCGACTAGCATCACGATGCACAGCAGACACAGAAGTACCTCAAAAGAAAGAAGCAAAGTCAGAGTCACCTGCCAAGCTGTCCCCCACTGAAAGACACTAACAGCCAGGTACGGTGGCTCATGCCTGTCATCCCAGCACTCTGGGAGGTAGAGGTGGGAGGACTGCCTGAGCTCAAGGGTTTGAGAGCAGCCTGAACAACATGGCGAGTTTTCGTCTGTACAAAAAAATCAAAAAATTAGCTGGGCATGGTGGTGCACTCCTGTAGCTCCTGATACTTGGAAGGCTGAGGCAGAAGGGTCACGTGAGCCCAACAGGTGGAGGCAGTAGTGGCTGTGAGTGCCACTGCACTCCAGCTTGGGCAGCGGAGTATGACTCCAACTCAAAAAAGACACGAATGGTCACTAAAAACAGGAACTGGACTCAAATACACATTTGTACAACTTTGCTGTTTGTTCATCAGTACAGCACGAGTGACCTAGGAGGGGCTCATAACATAATCATGAGGGAGTTCTGAAGGTGTTTAAAAAAGGAAACGTAACCATGTCATGCTCAGCCACACTCATCCCACCTTACCATTAACACATTATATGGATCCACTCCAAAGGAGTCTTCAAATCGCCACTTCCATGTTTCAAAGTCATGAAACTTAAAATTAACTAAGATATCACTTAGTGCATCATCCAAGGCTCCTGGCTTCCAGTCTTCTCCACTGAGAAACTTCTGTATTTCTAACAAGGTTTGTCTTTTAAGGATAATCTCGGCATCATAATGCATATCACCTTTGTCTTCATCAGGCTAAATTAAATTTACCAAAAAACAAACAACAGAAAAAGAATTTAATTATTACTCAGTGAAACATTTGAAGACAAAAGCCAAATTAGAACTAAACATAATTAGTTGGCAATATTTCATTACATAGAAGAATAATAATAACCACCTGTCTCACAGGTTAACATGGAAACCAAGATAAAACATACGAAAAAATTTAAAACTTATAGAACTCTATGCAACAAAGATACTATAAATTTTACTAAAATACAGTTGATTCTTGCTATTCGCAATCGTCATGTTCTATAAAGTCACCTCAAACACTAATCAGCAAGCACCGACCAGTACTCTGGCAAGAAACACAGGTTTGCTTCCTGCTGACCTCTGGTCATAACATTTTCATCAAGTGATCAGACATAACCTTGCATTCTATGTGTTTCTGTTTAAGGAAACTTAATTTTATATACCTCTATCGTTTATTCATTACCATGGGACACACAGACAACAGCACTATAACTCACGCCCGAATGAAGCCTATCTAACACGTTTTCTCTGTAAGGCACATTATGGCCTTCTTGCACTTAGAAACACTAGACGCAATTCAGTGCTACTTCTTGGGGCCATTTTAAAGAACAAAATCACCATCTTCCCCTGAAAAAGGAGTGAAATAGTATATCACTAAATAGACCACAAAAAAAACACCTGTTTGTGTTACAAGCGCTCACTTTTTTTTTTTTTGAGTTGGTGCCTCACTCTGCCGCCCAGGCTGGAGTGCAACAGCCACCCCAGCATCAATCCACTGGGCTCAGACGATCCTTCCACCTCAGCCTTCCAAGTAGCTGGAACTACAGGCATGCACTACCACACCCAGCTAATTTTTCATTTTATTGTAGAGATGAAGTCTTACCAAGTTGCCCAGGCCGGTCTTGAATCTGTGGGCTCAAGCAATTCTCTCATCTTGGCCTCCCAAAGTGCTGGGATTACAGGCTTGAGCCACCACATCCAGCCATCTCACAAGATTTTAAACAAGCTTTATAAATATTGTAAGTTAGGCCAGGCTCAGTGGCTCAGTCATGTTGTTAAAAGTACAGGGTACTTTGTTTTGTTTTTTGTTTTGTTTTTGAGTTGGAGTCTTACTCTGTCGCCCAGTCTGGAGTGCAGTGGTCACTCCCGGCCACCGCAGCCTCGACCTGCTGGGCTCTGGCGATCCTTCTGCCTCAGCCTTCCAAGTAGCTGGAACTACAGGCGTGCACTACCACACCCGGCTAATTTTTGATTTATTGTAGAGATGAGGTCTCACCAAGTTGCCCAGGCGGGTCTCGAACCCGCGGGCTCAGGCAATCCACTCACCTCAGCCTCCCAAAGTGCTGGGATTACAGGCTGAGCCACCGAGCCCGGCTCGTACAGGGTGCTTTTAATCTTATATGAATAGCTTTTGATTTAAAAAAAAAAAAAGCCAGGTAGTCTCTGCTAAAGCATACTGATGCTTTATCAATTCTTTGTTATGTAATACAAACATCATGAAAATACCCACTAGACTAATTGGCATCGCGTCACCCAATACTCACAAGCCCAAGCTTTCCAGCTTCAATTAAAATCTTATGTAAGTATCTCCTAAACACAGGGTTGCTTTGACTTTCATAGTCTTCCCTCTTTTTCTTTTCACACTCATCGATCTGTAATCACACAATGAAGTCAACATTAGTTAGCATGACTTGAGTTTAATACCAGGGTTGAGTTTCTAGCCTACCGGTGCCATCAAAACCAAGGAAAGAGTCGGTTATTTTCATCAAGCGTGCCTTCATCAGGCGCGTTGCAGCGTCGAGCCTGCCCGCTTCCTATGTTTCCTCTGCAAGAGGAAAGGAGGCAGCAGGTGAGGAACTGTGTCCAGCACTGAGTCCTGACCTGGCAGTTTCTCTGCTGACCATCAGCAGTTTTCAGGCTGAAGATCATGAAACAAGGCATGGAGACCCACAAGCAGAGTAGCCCAGCCAATCTGTCTCCTTCTAATTCCAAAGCCAACGATTAACCAGAGAAAGAAAGGAGAGAAGGAAAAGAAGGGAGGGAAGAAAGAACAAATACACAGACAGACGCAGAGAAACAGAGACAAGATGAAGCCAGAAGATGAAATGAAGGACACACGGCAAAGAGCTTCTCGAACGTACACACTACTTTCGGCCTTTTAATTTCTTCGTCAGCAATCCATCACTGCAAACTACACGGGATGCTCAGGAAGCAGGACCCCTGGCCTCTCCAGAGTGTCCCCCACACGGCAGCCCTCCTGCAGTAACTCTTTATTCGAGCAGTTTCCTCTGAACGAGCTCTGTCACTGCCACAGCAGCCATGCTACCCAGGAAGCTAGTGGAGAGTTCACAAACATGAAAATAACTTTGTGATCCTCAACTTGCATCTTTTTAACGGAGTGTGAGCCAGGAGTTGAGTTGAGCACCGAGGTGGGTTTTAGCTGAGAAATCTGACAACTTTCTATTCCTAACTCAGCAGGACACACAGACAGTACAGGATATTTGAGGAGTCACTCAGCAGTTTCTTCTCCCTTCTGGCAAGGTTTGTAAACCATTTTATTTTCTAAACCTTAAAGAAAAACTTAAAAAAAAACAAGGACTCAAGACTTCCTTTTACCAATCATGTTTTTTACAATGTTTAAACCAAAGTCACAAGCAACAGAATAAAACATTTCTGGAAAAAAGACATTTCTGCATTTCTTGCTGTAGAACTGAACTCCCTCACAACACCCCAACATGCAGTTGTAGCAAAGTACATTATATCCAGGCATTTCTTGACTAGCCTCAGGTGAGGCGACAGATTTAGTAAGACTACAGCTGCTGGTTATGGATCATGGCTGGGACCCATCTAGTTCTCAGTTAAACTCTCCCAGGTTCTCAGGCTGGGCACCTCACCAACCATTCCAGTTCATCCCTGTCCCTTCCCCTCACCTCCCCGTGGCCATCAGCACTAGCCTGGTCACCTCTGTCCAAGTCTCTTGTCTCGTCAACTCTCACAGCCTCACATCCAGCCTTCAACATTCCCGGGCCTCAGCAACCCCTGATCTCATTGCCACCCCCTTCTCCACTCCAGGCCCCTCTCCACACCATCACCAGTTCATCCCGTCTACACAACCAAAAGAGGGTAGCTCCCACAGCAAGTAAGACACTCAAATCCCTGAACCTCGACTCAGTTCCTTTCGTGTAAACACTACTCCAACCACATAAGAAAAGGACTGCATCAATGCAGGAAGGCATAACTATGACATGCCAAGTTATAACAATTCTTTAGGAGAGTAACTCAGGCTCCTCAGTTGGTAATGGGCCCATTCGTCATCTCTGCTTGCTCTTCAACTCATCTACTGTGCCTCAGTACTGTGACAGGTGACAGAGAATCAAAATGAATAAAATCTATTCCTTGCCAAGAAATTTACAGTCTACCATCTGGTAAAGTAATAGTTACAACATAGCAGATAAATGCTATTACAGGAAAAGAAGAGACACTTCTCAAAAAAGGCAAGGTAAGAGTAGTTACCGAGAAACCAAGGCTAGAGTAACTAAAGAAAACTGATAGATATAGATAGATCATACAGTACACAGAAACACTAAAAGTAAAAATATTAGCAAAGACAAGAAAAGAGAGGGCAATTTAACATAAGTAATATAAAACTTATGCGCAAAAAAATCTAACCTTATAAATTAAGGAGTCAAGTTTGTGATAACATTCTGACAATTCAGCAGCACATGACGTGTCAGGACCTACATCCTTTTTCTCTGCAGTACCATGTTTCATCTAAAACAAAGCAGAGAGAGATTTTCTTTATAGCGTAGTTGTGAAAATAACCCTCAGTTAATGAAGACTAAGATTCTGACTCATCATTTCATAACTCAGCCTGTGGTACGCTGCAATCGTATTGAACCACAAAAAAGTAAAAGTCTTTTTTTTTTGAGTTGGAGTCTCACTCGGTCACCCAGACTGGAGTGCAGTGGCCGCTTCCGGCCACCGCAGCCTCGTCTGCTGGGCTCCAGCGATCCTTCCGCCTCAGCCTTCCGAGTAGCAGGAATTACACATACACTACCACGCCCGGCTAATATTTTGATTTATTGTAGAGATGAGGTCTCGCCTGCCCAGACGGGTCTCGAACCCGCGGGCTCAGGCAATCCACTCACCTTAGCCTCTCAAAGGCGCGGGATTACAGGCTGAGCCACCAAGCCCGGCAAAAGTAAAAGTCTTAAGGCCATGTGAGGGAATCGCGGCCCCTTCCTCCAGCCAACAGTTTCCCCTCTGAGGTGATTGGCCTCTTCCCCAGCAGCTGAGAGAGTTGATGCCTTTCCTCTTTGATCCTTAGCCCCAAGAAGCAAGAGCTAGCTCATGCCTTATTAAAGTTTCCCTCAAAAAAAAAAAAAAGAAAAATCCCAAATGTACATTCTATGAGCCAAAATCAAATCAGTTTGCTGCTTGATGGGCTTTACCTTCAAATTCCATGCCAGGTAGGTTTGAAATAGCCTTACATTAAGAGTGCCAGGAAAATACCTGCATAATTGCTAACCATTGATACATGATACGTGACTTTCACAGCCATGGGTAAAACATTCAAAACAAAAGCAGACTATATCCACCACAGAACTAACAAGGCCTTACACATACACATACTTTTTAAGTACCTGAGATTTCCTCATGGTTCCCGAAGCAGCATCATAGTTAAGCATGTCTGTGGGGTCAATCCAGTCATCATCAGGAACATGACTAGCCACCAGCAACAGACACTCACAGAGAAGCAGAGAACACAGCATCCTGTGTAAGGCTAAACGCATTTTCATAAAATGAAACACCATTACTTTTTAAATAGATTGTTTTGTCACAAAAATTGCCTATTTCCTTCTAGCGTCAAGATCACACTTTCTGAATAGTAACTAAGGAAAACACATACAATAAAAATAGTAAGATGGTATTCACCTACAAAAATATACACATACATACAATACTCTCATCGAGGTGATAGGAACTGGCATTTTCCATAATCGCCCAGCAATTCTGTTCCTAAGTATACACCCAAGAGAAATGAAAATATACATCCACCCAAAAATTTGTACATGAATGTTTATAGCCACATTTTTCATAACAGCCAAAAGGTCAACCTAAAATGTGGTATTATATCCTTACAATGGAATATTATTCAGCCATAACAAGGAATGAAGTACTGATAGATACCATGCTACAACACAGATGAATCTTGAAAACATTACGATATGTGAAAGAAACCAGTCACAAAAGGCCACATATCATGAGTCCATTTATAGTAAATGTCCAGAACAGGCAAATCTATAGAGACAGAAAATGGATTATGCATGGTTAAGGTTAGGACATGGGGAAAGAGGAGAACATTAGCTACAAGACACATGGTTTCTTCTGAGAGAAGGAAAAATGTTCTACAATTGGGATAGTGGTTGTGCATATCTGTGAATATACTAAAAAACATTAATTGTACATTTTAAATGGGTGAATTGTATAGTATGTGACTTACAGTTCAATAATGTTAAAAAAAAAACAAGCAAATAGGTATTTTAACTTATACCCTCCTCCAACTTTTATTTTTACAAATGGGAAATTAAAAAGGTGGGAAATTAAGATTTCAAATATGGCAACTGAACTCCAGAACCATTGAGAGAAAACCACCCGTCTCGCTACTCCTCTGCATAACAGGCAAATGCACTTACTTAAATACACTTACTAATTTCCTTATGCAACACTGTCCATATGGTAGCCTTGAGCCACATGGGGTCATTTAAATTAAAAATTAAATAACACTAAAAATCCAGTTCCTCATTCACACTACTTACACTTCCAGTGCTTCAGTGTGGCTGGTGGCTACCATGTTGGCCAGTGAGGACACAGAACATTTCTACCCAGTGAAGAAAGTTCCACTGGATGGGCCCACCTAATACCCACTACATGTAAGAATTGGCAAGGGAACCCCAAGATGAAAAAGTCCGGGCCCCACTCATAAACAGCTTACGGTCTAATTATGGAATAAAAGTAACTCCAGGCGAGATAAAATACTCCTCTGTTCTCCTTGTGCTGTTGATTCTTCTAGCAAAACACAATGACAACAGACGTTTATCATCTGTCTCTTCCACCAGCACAAGGTTCTCAACCTTGCTCCATGTTAGAATCACCTGAGGAGTGTCTGAAACTCCAATGTGCTGGCCACATCCCAGAACAATTAAATCACAATCTCTGGGGCTGGGACCCAGGCCCCGGGATTTATAAAGTTCCCGTGGTGATTCCCACACGCAGCCACAGTAGAAAATCACTGCACCTTAATGTGAACTTCTCTAGGGAAGGGTAACCTCTTACCCAAACCTGAAGTCACCTTCTCACAGGCCTCTCCATCTTCCCAAGCTCCACACCCAGCTCATGGGTGGCACAGGAAAGGCACGAGGTAACTGTTCAGCAGCAAATGCAAGTGGTCAAAGCCACAGCAAGGATTTAGGAGGCTCAAAGGATGAACAAGGCACATCTGACTAAAGAAACCGTTAGAGCCGGGCTCGGTGGCTCAGCCTGTAATCCCGCGCCTTTGGGAGGCTGAGGTGAGTGGACTGCCTGAGGCCGCGGGTTCGAGACCCGCCTGGGCAGCGAGACCTCATCTCTACAATAAATCAAAAAATCAGCCGGGCATGGTAGCGCATGCCTGTAATTCCGGCTACTCGGAAGGCTGAGGCGGAAGGATCGCCGGAGCCCAGCGGGTCGAGGCTGCGGTGGCCGGGAGTGGCCACTGCACTCCAGTCTGGGTGACAGAGTGAGATTCCAACTCAAAAAAAAAAAAAAACCATTAGGCTTCATGGAGAAGTGGCATGGAAACGGAAGGTGGAGTAAGGATCACATTTAAAGAGAGCAAGGCAGGGGAGGCAGAGGCAGAAGAGCAGAGTGTATGCGTATGCTTCAGAAATTGGAACCGCGAGGATGGATGTGGCCGGGTAGAGAGAGGAGTGGTGGGCTGTGATGACCCTGCCGAGGTAAAAAGCGTCTGGCTAACTTCTGCTAGCAACAGCTCTCAAGAGTCAAGGAAGAGAAAACCAGCATTAAGTAAGTGTACAGAATGGCGAAAAAGTTGGATTCAGAGAGTCCACCGAAGAGACTTTTGATGTGGCACTTGGTCTGAAAGAGTGGTGGTAATACAAGCAGAAAGAACACATGAAGCACATTTTGAAGATTAATTCTACAGACCTCAGCCTCTGACTACACATAGAAGAAAAGGAAGACAGCAAAAATGGCTCCAGAATGTCCAGGCCTACCAGCAACAAAAAGGGTGACACTAATGTAAAAAAGAAGTTGAGAATGAGAATATGCTTTGGGGAAGAGTTCAGCAATCATTTGTTCAACATTTACTAAATGCCTACTGTGTACTGGGCACTGCTTAAGTAACAGGGATACTAGGAAACTAGAGAGGCCAGATCTTCTTCAAGCTTACATTCAAGGGGCGGACAATAAACTGACAAAAGACAACCATACAAATTGAGATAGTGAGGGGCGCACCTCATCAACAAGGACACCTGCATAAATGAACATTTGTATGTCTAATCCTGAATTTTACCGCACATCTTTAAGATAAAGAAAAAAAAATTGAGATAGTGATACTTCCTAAGAAGATAAAGCAAGGCAATGGTGGAGATGGGTTAGACAATGTTGGATATTTCAGAGAAGGCCTCTGCGATTCAAGATAGCCACAAATTCTTTGTCACTCTCCTCACTGAGAAAGATGGAGTTGATTTCTCCCTCTCCTGAATCTGGGCAGGCTCAGTGACTACTTTAACCAAAATACCGCCAGAAGTAAAGCTGTGTTGGTTCTGGGCCTCGCCTGTAGGAGGTCTTAATTGTCAACTAAGCCAGGTGTGATGGCTCACACCTGTAATCCCAGCACTTTGGGAGGCAGAGGCGAGAGGACTGCCTGAGTTCAGGGGTTTGAGACCAGCTTGGGCAATTTGGTGAGACCTCATCTCTACAATAAATCACAAAAATTAGACGGGTGTGGTGTAGTTCCAGTTACTTGGAAGGTTGAGGCAGAAGGATAGCCTGAGCCCAGCAGGTCAAGGCTGCAGTGGCCGTGAGCATGCCACTGCACTCCAGTCTGGGCAATAGTGAGACTGACTCAAAAAAAAAAAAAAAGAGTCAACTAGACTGGACCAAGGAGCCTCAGACACTGGCAGAGCATGACCTCTGCATGTGCCCATAAGGGTGTTTCCAGAGACTGGTGTGGGAGGTGATAGGCGGGTGAGGAAGATCTGCCCTCGGGGGGTGGGGGGGTGAGCACCACTCATTCAGCTGGGGCCCCAACACAACAAAACATGCAGAGAAAAGGGGGTTTTCTCTCTCTCTCCTGGAGCAGGGACACTCCTCTGCTCCTGCTCCTGAACATCAGGACTCCAGGCTCATCTCAGCGGCCCCCCAGATTCTCAGGCCTTTAGCCTCAGACTGAAAACCATACCGTCCGCTTCCCTGGTTCTGAGGCTTTCACACTTGGACTGAGCCAGGCCACCAGTATTCCAGCTCTAATAAACCCCCTCTCTTCAATCTAATCTAACCTATCAATCTACCTACCTACTGGGGGGACCCAAAAAGTTGAGTATTGATTCTTACATGCTTAAACTTTGGTCACCTTCAAAGTACTCTCCGTTTGATGCAATATACCTATCGAGACACTTTTTCCACTGCTCACAAGTTTCTGAACTCGTCCATTTTGATAAGTTTTAACGCTTCTGCTGTTTTTTGTTTCACCTCTTCCACATTGGCAAAACGTTTCCCTCTGAAGACATTTTTCATGCGGGGAAAAAAAAAGTTGCTCAGGAGAGCTCAGGTGAATAAGGAGGTTGGGGCATGGGTGTCAAGCCATTTTTGGTCAAAAGCTGCTGAACACTCAGTGTGGTGTAGACAAGTGAGCTCATAAATCCTCCATCACAAAATGGGCAAACATTGTGGGTGTCTCACACCTGCAATCCCAGCACTTTGGGAGGCTGAGGCAAAAAGATTGCATGAGGCCATGGGTTTAAGATCAGCCCAGGCAATGTGAAGAGACCGCATCTCCACAATAAAATTAAAAAATTAGCTGGTGTGGTATCATGTGCCTGTGGTTCTAGCTATTTGGAAGGCTGAAGCAGAAGGACTGCCTGAGCCCAGCAGGTCGAGGCTGTGGTGAGCTGTGATGGCGCCACTGCACTTTAGCCTGGGCGGCAGAGTGAGACCCTGACTAAAGCAATCAATCAATCAATAAAGTGTAGGCAGACCCTACGACATGTAGCAAAGACCAGGTAGTAGGTGACCAAGCACAATTCTTCTTCTCTCTGGGCAAATGGTGACTACACATCTCAGCCTCTCTCTGTTAAATATGGCCATGTAGAAACGAAGTTCTAGCTAGTGCAACAGTTGTGGAAGGGAAACGCACCACAGCCAGGTCTGGTCCCGAAAGCCCCCCACAGGCCATCTCCCACCAGGGACTGCTGAGGTCCTGTGCCTTGGAGAGCAGCCAAACCACAGAAGGAGCCTGGGGTCCCTAAATGACCCAAAGGAAGGCCATCACTTTCTTTTTTTTTGAGTTGGAGTCTCACTCTGTTGCCCAGACTGGAGCGCAGTGGCCGCTCCCAGCCACCGCAGCCTCGACCTGCTGGGCTCCGGCGATCCTTCCGCCTCAGCCTACCAAGTAGCGGGAATTACAGGCATGCGCTACCACGCCCGGCTAATTTTTTTTTTTTTTACTGTAGAGATGAGGTCTCACCAAGTTGCCCAGGCGGCCATCACTTTCATG